TCTATCTATCTATCTATCTATCTATCTATCTATCTATCTATCTATCTATCTATCTATCTATCTATCTATCTATCTATCTATCTCTCCATCCATATCATCCATCTATCTATCTATCTATCTATCTATCTATCTATCTATCTATCTATCTATCTATCTATCAATCATCTCTCCATCCATATCATCCATCTATCATCTATCTATCTATCTATCCATCCATCCATCCATCCATCCATCCATCCATCCATCCATCCATCCATCCCTCTATCTCTCTATCTTCAGATTGCTCCAAATTGCACCCCCACCCCCCAAAATGCAGAGATGCACACACAAAAATTGCAAGGCATAATTAAAGATACCAAGCACATTTATTGACATGCCAAGAATGCCGGATTTATTGGCACCAAGCTCAGGAATTCCCTTTCAGTCTGTTTTTACAGCTGTTTCCCCCTTTTAAAAGAGAAGCAGCTGTCAACGCAGCTGAGCCAGCGGGCTGAATTGGCAACCTGTATGGTCCTATCCTGGCTGCAGTTAACGGGAGCATCCACCAGGGGGCAGGAACGAGGCTAAACACACACACCCTTTGCCGCCCTCTAGTGCTCGGCTGGAGTTTCGCAGCCCACAAATATTTTTGCCTATCCCAAAAACAAAACATTAAACCCGATTACGTTTAAAAAAAAATGGGGAAAAATAACTCTTTATTTAGGCACAGGGAGGGTAGCAGCCTTAACCGAAAATGTGGTTTTTATTGTTTCGTCTGAGTAAACAATTCACACCTTGATGGGGGCAGGTGGCTCATTCTTTCTGGGGTGGCTGACAGGGGAGTTTTCGGTCTTTTAATCCGAGGGATTTTCGGGGGATTATGCAGAAGGTGCGTTTAACGGGGCAGAGCGAGGCGCAGCCCCCAGCCAGCACCTGTGCAACCATCGCGGGGCGTGTTCGTCACGCCAAGTTTGACTTCTGATCTCTTTCTGCGCGGACAAAGGAGACGGAAGTCTCGTTTAGCAACTTTACCTTTTGGACTCCGTAACTTGAACCTGACCTGCAGTGAACTCTTTCTTAAGAAGTGTCTCACTTAGCAACGTACGTTTTGGGCTCCATTCTGGCCATAACTTGAGCACTAGTATAACAGATCATTCCTTAACAAATGTCTCACTTAGCAACGTACGTTTCGGGCTCCATTCNGGCCACTTCCGAGAAAGCCCTTTTTTGGGGTCCCACCAGGCATACAGATAGTCCTCTACCTACAACCGCAATTGACCCCAAAATTTCCATAGCTAAGCCAGGCATTTGTCAGGTGCATTTTGCCCTCGTTTTATGACCGTTTCTTGCCTCCCTTGTTAAGCCCACCAAGTCACGCCCACCAAGCCACGCCCACCAAGCCACGCCCACAGAACTGGCAGTAAAAACATTTGAATCCCACCACTGGTTCAGACATTATATGACTTAGCCAGGTAACCTCATCAGTGCTACAAGGGAATAAGGCAGTGGTGGTGAACCTTTTCGGCACCACGTGCCGAAAAGGTCACATGGAAATGTTGCGCCACGCACATACACGTTCGTCAGGGCCGCGCTCTGGAAAAGTCTTAACTTCTGGGTTCTAGTGCACATGCGCACCCAACAATCAGTTGGCCAGTGTGTGGGCTTTTTTTCGGCACAGCCACGCACACAAAGAGTTCGCGCTCTGGAAAAGCCAAGCTTCCCGGTTCTGGTGCGAATGCGAATACCTGACAATCAGCTGGCTGGCGCACATGCGCACACCAGTTTTCGGCACTGCCGCCCGCGCGAAGGGCAGCTGACTGTTGCGCGCACCTGTGCACCAGAAACCCAGCAGACAAACAGGCAAGCCGGCCGACATAGCTTCCCATGCTACTTTGAGCACGTGTGACGTAGGTTCGCCATCACGGGAATAGGGGAGGAGGTTTGGGAGGAGGAAGAGGAAGAGGAAGAGGAGGAGCTGAGGGCTCCTTGGTGCTTTCTGAGCTTGGTGGTTTCCATGCAGACCAGAGGGGGGATTCAGCAGGTTCTCACCAGTTCTGTAGAACCGGTAGTGGAAATTTTGAATAGTTTGAGAACCGGTAAATACCGGTTTGGTATTTGGTACTGGCTGGCCACGCCCCATCTATTCTCTGCCTCCTGAGTCCCAGCTGATCAGGAGGGAATGGGGATTTTGCAGTATCCTTTCCCTGCCACACTCACCAAGCCATGCCCACCAAGCCATGCCCACAGAACCAGTAGTAAAAAAAATTGAATCCCACCACTGGGGGGGAGCCATTGCTTTGCAGGGCCCTTCTGCCTTCTCTCCCCAGCCAAGGTGGAGGGACACACACACGCCCCTCTGCCCTACTCTTGCCCCGCTGACCGGCCTCTGCTTTCCCTCCTCCCTGCAGACCAGCAGTTCTTGGTCTTCTTCTTCAAGCAGCTGAAGCTGAACCGCAGCGGCCGCTACGAGGACTCCTTCCCTTACCTGTCGCCCTGCGGCCCGGAGCACAACTACGTCCGTTGCGATGACCGGCCCATCGTCTTCACGCACCTCCTGGATGGACCCTCGGGCCAGCAGTCGCTGTCCTTCTGCGGGGGCTCAGAGCGCCTGGCCGTGCCTTTCCAGCCGGAGCAGCTGGTCATGCTGGCCGAGAACGGGCGGGTCTATCACCCGGGTCCGGAGAAGGCTGGCGGGGTAGGATTGGTCAAATCATCCTTGGCCTTTGAGTTGAGCCCTTGCTTTGAGTACCAGGACGGACCCGGTCAGCCGCCCACTCATTTCCGCTGGCAGGAGAAGAGACACGCGCTCACGAACGAGCTGCTGCGGTTGATCTGACGCCGTTGTAGAGCGAGGAACGCCTTCCAGTGGTCTTCTTGTTGGCACCCTCGGCTTGACATCAACCCAAATTATGCCCCACCTGCCGTTCCAGGTGCCCCGTTTTTCCCAGGAGACCAACTCAAGAACGGGGTTGGAAGAGTCTGTCCAGAACCCCAGGAGGGCAAGGATCCCGGACAAACTCTCTTGGAATAAAAACCGTTTCATGGTTTGTGCGCAGGATTGGTCTTCGTCAGCCGATTGATTGGCTTAAAGTGCAGGGCCTTCTCACTTCCTCGAGCTCCCTCCGTGGACAGCCAAAGCGTTGCTTTCAGCAGAGTGATGAACGGGTGGCCTATAAATGTAATAAATAAATATAAACATAACGAAAGCCAAATTTTGCCTAGCAGCAGGAAACTCGGCTGGATGATGAGCAGATTCCTCAAGCGCAGGCTATGGGTGCGTGAATAATTATCACGGAAACCTAAGGCTGGAAGGGACCTTAGAGGTCTTCTAGTCCAGCCCCCCNGAGAAACACTGGCCTAATGAGAGGCATAGAATGAGGGGTGGGAGAAGATATCAGAAGCCTTCCGGGGTATAGAAAAGGTAGGGAACCCCTGATCTAGTGCCTAACCGCTTGCTCAGGCAGGATTCACCCACCAAGCGCTCCTGCCTTCATCTTGTGGCAGGGAGTTCCACTGCTTCACGGTGCCCTAAGCGATCCTAAGAGAGCTGCTGGCCCCCCTTTTGGGGCCAGCTCCCCTCCTAAGAATGGGGGGAGCTGGGTTCAAGGCACCCAGAAAGGGAAGGTCCCGGCCAGATGCCCATCCCGAAGACACCGCCAAGGCTGCCCCCCTCCCCCCAATAGTGGATGCGCTCAAAGGTGGCATTTCTGCCATCCAAACTCTGGCCATGGATGAGATTCAGGACAGGTAAGCCCTATTCATTGAGTGACCGTTAGTCCTTGCGATGGCACTGAAAGAAATGACTTATGATCGTGTTTCACACTTATGACCGTTGCAGCTTCCCCAAATTCAGACGCTTGGCAACTGACTCGCATTTACGACGCTCGTAGTGTCCCTGGATCATGGGATCCCCTTTTCCGACCTTCTCAGCCAGTTTCCAATACGCGAAGACGATAACGGAAGCTTCACGACGGCACGATTCACTTAATAACTCTAGCAACTCGCTTAATGACTGCCTAGCAGCAAGGTCTTAAAATGAGGCACGACTCTCTTAAGATTGCTTTGCTTAGCCATGGAAACCTTTGGCTCAACGGCTGTCATAAATCAAGGACTACCTTATAGAGGCTTTTAGAATTAGAATTAGAATTGGAATAGAGCTCGAAAGGGACCTTGGAGGTCTTCTAGTCCAGCCCCCTGCTCAGGCAGGAGAACGTGTGCCATCTCAGACAAGTGACTGCCCAGTCTCTTCTTAAAAAATCTCCAGTAATGGAGGTTTCATTTAAATCAAGTGGCAAGTTTTTATAATGAATTAACTCAATGAAAAACCCGGAGAAATAAGTAGGGAAGTTTTTAAGAGGAACCGGCTTCTGCAAAGCCAAAATTTGGGTTGTGTGAACTGGGCATTGCGGTTGATAAACCGAGGTTTGGGGTTTAGCCGACCTTACACACTCCAGCAACTGTGAATTGTGTGGAATAAACTGTGTTTGTTGTGTTCTGGTGGGGTTTTTTTTTTCTTCCTTCCACAATATGGGCCTCCAACTGTGAGATGCTCTGGGTGACCGAGCCGTGAATAATCGTGTGTGGCTTTTATTGATGTTCATGGAAATCAAAATGGTGGAGAATTAATTGGAGAGATTTCTGCCGATTGTTTTCAAAAGGTTTGCGTAGGGTGGTTCGGCCGTAGGACTCCGGTGGAGGGTCTGCTACAGCTTTAAAATAAATACAGAAATTTAGGCAAAAAAAGGAAAATTAATTGAAGGGGGAGGGGCGTTTATACATCGGAATAAAATTTAATTCCATCAGATGAAATGGAATTAAATCAAATTAAATTCAGCCCCGTGATTTAGCAAACTGTGGTGAATCGGGTCCTAAATCTGTATGGAGAAGTTCCAGAAGAATTTAGTTTTGCAGGTAGTTCTCGACCTACGACCACAATTGAGCCCCAAAATTTCCGTCGCTAAGTGAGAGAGTGGTTAAGTGAGTTTTGCCCATTTTACGACCTTCCTTGCTACGGTTGTTAAGTGATTCACTGCAGTTAAGTTGGTTGTTAAGTGAATCCGGCTTCCCCTTGTCGGAAAGTCTCAAAAGGCGATCACGTGACCCCGGGATGCTGTGACCGTCATAAATATGAGTCAGTTGCCAAAGCGTCCGAATTTTGACCACATGGCCACGATCATGTGCGAAAACTGGTCGTGTCACTTTTTTCAGTGCTGTTGTAACTTTGAGTGGTCACTAAGCGAATCGTTGTAGGTCGAGGACTACCTGCAATGGTTCCCAAGGGTGTGTGTGCATTTGCATGCACAACTCGAGGTGCTGCAGGTGCCTAGATGGTTGCGTTTAGTGAAGGTAGAGCCTCCATCTGCGCTGACAAGGTTTGTCTGTTCCAGGTGAATTTCACAGACCCCTCCCCTCCTCCTCCTCCCCTCCCTCACCCCAATGGACCACAGCTCTGCTGGCTGGGGAATTCTGGGAGTAGAAGTCCAGACTTCTTAAAGTGGCTTAGTTGTAGAGCAGAGGTGTCAAACTGGCACCCACCCCCCACTCTCCTAGAGAATGGGATATTTTGGGAACTATTTAAAAAAAGGCAGGATAGAATATTTTCCCTAAAGGAGAAATGGAGGGGGGGGGAATCTTAAGGGAGGTGGGAACCAGCTCCAGTCTCCCTGCCCCAAGCACAAACTGAGGAGACCAGCTTTTAGAAATGCAGATTGGGTAATCCATTCAGAAAGACTGGGTCAGGCCGAAACTCTAGATAAGCAACACAGTTAGACGAGCCAAAGGCTGACAAGATTAGCTGAGACAAACACCTGGGATTTGCATTTTCCCCTTTTGCCTGTGGAGCCAGCCATGACCCCTACATGACCCCCAAGGAATCCAGAAGGTATTAAAAAAAAACCCCCACCAACTCTCAACTCCATTTTGTCAGCGGTCCCAGAACCGCACACTTTGTGCGTGTGCGTGTGTTCTGTTCGCCAATAAGAATCTTTCTTTCCCATCGGCCTCCATTATATTCCATTCTTGGGCCTGGATTTTTCTTCCAACAAAAGTTGAAGAACCCGTAAAACAGAAGTCTCCAAAACTTGGCCACTTGAAGACTTGTGAACTTCAACTCCCAGAATGCCTCATCCCCCCCCCCATGAGGCCCCCTCCTGTGTGCTATCTGAGGGGTTCTGGGAGTTGACGTCCACAAATCTTAAAGTGGCCAAGTGTGGAGACCCCCCTGCCCGTAAATATTCAGCGTCTTGCCTTGAGATGTCAGTAGACGCACACAAGATTATCCTTCTAGCTCTGCCTTTCAAGGTTCCGCAGCCCATCATTTTTGGGCTTTAAAATCCTCTCCCGCCATTCCCCTGGGCTGAATCTTGGTGTTGGAAGAAACGTTCCATCTGGTTCAGTTCCAAGCTGGGAAATTTATTTATTGATGAAGCAGAAGCACCAAGCACATGCGATTCTGGGCAGCTGGCCCCATAGAGTTGAGAATGAGGGTTGTTTATACCTTCCCTTGGGCCTTGCCCTTCAGCTTCCTGTTCCTGCGCAGGAACATGTATTCTTTCTGTTGTCGTCAGACTCCCATGGGGCCATGTAGGGGTCATGTTTGTCTGAGCTAAGTTTGGTTGAAGTTTGGACTGATGCAAGGGTCTTGTTGGACAATTCCTATTGTGGCTGAGGGCTAACCCTACTTTTGTTCATACCTTGCTCCCGCGAGTAATGGATGGCCAAATCTGCATTTCTAAAAGCTGGCCTCAGCTTAGTATGTGTTGGAGAACTGGGGCTCCCCGATTCTGCCTTTAGAAACATGTTTCTCCTTTAGGGAAATATAATCTTCCGCCTTTTTGATATTGTCTAAAATATTGCATTGTAAGAGAGGGGTGGGGGGCTAACTTTCTACAACTTGAACAATGGCTAAATATATGGTTGTAAGTTGGGGACTCCTTGGCTAATATTCCTGGGGGAGTGGACTCCATAATGATATATAAGAAGGAAGAGAAATTTGCTCTTTCTGGACTCAGAGAGGGGAAGAAAGAAGAACGGAGAAGGAGGAGGAGGAGGAGGAGGAGGAGGAGATGGAGGAGGAGGAGGAGGAGGTGGTGGTGGTAGTGATATAGTGGCAGAAGAAGAGATGAACCTCTGACCCTAACCCTAACCCACCAATGAGATTGGCCAAAATGTATCCAAACATGAATCTGACCTGCAAAACTGCAAAAAAAACCACAAGGGACTTTCTATCATATGTGGTGAACCTGTCCGGAAATTTAAAAGTATTGGATTAAAATTTGGAAATGGATACAACAAATTACAGAGGAACAAATAGAATACAAACCAGAACTCTTTCTGCTGGGAATAACCCAGGGGAAATGTAGAAAGAAAATTAAATACATACTAACACACTGTTGACTACAGCCAGAATAATGTTTGCCCAATGTTGGAAACAGAGTAATATTCCCCCAGATGAATTAGTGATTCAGGAAAGTCTAGATTGCGCAGAAATGGACAAGTTAACATTAAGATTAAAGGACAAAGAAGAATCTGAATACTATGAAATTTGGGATAATTGGTATAAAGGGTTGCATAACAGGAATAAAGTTAATTCAGCCAAGAAACAATAGAGAAATGTATAGAACTGTAGATGAATGTATATATATATATAAATATAGAAGAGATATAAGATTGATATATACAGGTATGATGACACAAAAATGTTTAATGTGATGATTGTAAGATGTTATAGAGGGGAAAAATAATAAAAATGTGATCAACCAGAGATGAAGTTCAGGAAGAAAGAGGAGGGGGGGGGGAATTGGAGAAGCAGAAGAAGAAAAAGGGGAAAAGAGGAGGGATGGTTTACTTGGTGATAGAAGAACAGATGAAGCTCAAGAAGGAGGAGGAGGAAAGGGGGGAGGAGAAGAAAAAAGGGGGAAAGAGAAAAAAGGATGAAGAGGAGGGAAATGCAGAAGGAAAAGGGGGGAAGGAAAGGAGGAAAGGAGAAGGAAGTGCTGAAAAGAGAAGAGGAAGAACATGCATGTTCAAGAAAGAGACGGAGGAGGAG